GATAGATAGATAGATAGATAGATAGATAGATAGATAGATAGATAGATAGATAGATAGATAGATAGATAGATAAATAGATAGATAGATAGATAGATAGATACTACTTTAGGAAAGTATCTTACAAGAGAATTGGCAGTTCAGAGAGAAGAATAAATTATTAAAGTAAATTTTCATTCCCTTAAAACATTTTTATTTATTCTGATACTGCTCTTGCGAGTGCGTGAAGAACATAGGCTTATGTCTGCTTATTTGAGTTTATACTTTTCAGTCAAAATAAATTGGGTGATACTTTTATCACCTCGATTGATTTCACAACAACAACTTGCTCTCAACATGGCGGCTGTGGCGTTGATGCAGCAAGCGATTGATTTGAAACGGACGAACAAAGAAAATGCCACGGAAATTCTTTCGACTATAGGTAGGTCGAGTAAAATATTATCTGTCCAATCCGAGAGTGTAAGTCTACAAAGCGACGTGCTACGTATGTTTTGTGAGATGTTAAGTCTTGCGCCCAAGTTCGATTTTCCGTTTCGAAACTGCTTTGTCAGATTGCCCAGCAGAGAAGGAAATTTGTCATTATTGTTAGTCTGATTGTGAATATCAGTCACACTTGTTGGCACCTCAGAGTAGTCAGAGATAGTGTTTTACAATAGACTGGACTGAATCAACGTTTTTTGTTGATGAAATTCAGGTAATTTTTTTTACTTGGGCCTACTTGAACTGTACTTGTTGACTTTTGTCACTTGAATCTTGATCAAATCTAACTTGTCATCATTGTTTTGTAATTGTAATTTTGTTGTTCGCTTTTTCTTTGACAAGATTATTATAGATTTAGAGTCAAGACCAAAACTTCACTCTTTTTTTATCTTGCTCTTTGGTTTATGGTTGTAATCAAGTTGAATACAAATCATATTTCTAAAGGCAAAGGTAAATCTAGATTCTAGTGTGTATACAGACCCGGTAACCAGGAACAAATTCACGAAGTATACAGACCCGATAGAGGGGAAATCTTTTGTGATTTCTGAAAGTTTCAGCGCCCAGACCCAGTAGAGTGTGTGTGTGTGTGTGAGGAGAAAAAGAGTGGGAAAGTAGGTTGGAGAGAAAGAAAGACAGAGATGAACAAAGAAAAAGAGAAGGCGGGCGATACGCACCCACACACACACACACTCAGAGAGAGATTTTCCCTACCTGGTCTGTATACTTCGTGACTTTGTTCCCGGTTACCAGGTCTGTATACACTCCCTTTTCTAAATTGGCTGTCGTTATTCTCAGCCCGTCAACCCCGGGTAAGAATAGGGAGTGGACTTACCGGGACTTCCGTAAGGAGCAACTACAGCAACAAACACAATAAAGACAAAGAAGAGACCTAACCCTGCCCCTAGCCCTCTATCTATTCTACAATTTCTCAACTCATAGTGTTTGGTTGCTCGTTACAGAAGTCCTACTAAAAATAGTTCTAGAATTCATTAATTACTCACCCCGGGAATAGTGACACTGGGGAATAGGCCCAAAAACTATTCCCAGTGTCACTGGGAATAGGCCCAGATACTATTCCCAGTAACCCTGGGAATAGGCCCAGAAACCACTGGCTATAGGCTTTGGCCAGAATTGTTCCCAGTCTCACTGGGAATAGACCAAGAAACTATTCCCAGTGACACTGAGAACAGACGTACAGATCTAGACTCTAGAGATAGATATCTAGGCTAAGGTCAAGTCTAGGCCCAATTAAGAGAAGAGAACAAAAGTACTGAACTACTGAAGTGAGAAGAGTCTACAGTACACGTTAGAATCGAATCTAGGCCTAGAATCTTGATCTTTTGAAAAGCTGCAAATTTCTCTTCATACTCTTTGAAGGAGAGAACTTCACGTCCACTTCCATCCATCTGCATCGCAATTTTCAAATTTTGTTTCGAAGTGGAAATTCAAAGGCTTTTTTTTTTAATGCAAAAGATTTCCATTGTCACTGAGAATAGTTTCTGTACCTCTATCCCCAGTGTCACTGGGAATAGTCACTTCGAATTATAAATGTAGGCTATATATATGGGGCTCCAGTGGCTAAGTGAGTAGTGAGTTTTGACTCAAGCAATGTCAAGCAAATGTCGGTGACACGGGGATCAGATGGGTGGTCACCGGAGTGTGTCCTTGAGCAAGACATGACAACCCTAGCTCAAATTACAGGGCGCTGCACAGTGGCGACCGACAGTGGCATTGTTTGTACGCAGTGGCTATTTTTACGGCGAGCCGTAAAGATAGCCTCCCAGGCTATTTTTACGGCGTGCCGTAAAGATAGCCTCCCACACGGCGCACCGGCAGTTGAATTTTAGTTGCCGCGGGGGGTTCCCCGCCGGGCGCCTTATCACGTCGGGGTCACGGGGGTCAGCTCCCTGTCGCCGCTCTGTCTGGGCCGACTTAATTTTTGGTACTTTTCAACGTACAATTTAAGGTGTATCCTTGTATTTATGGTAATTCTCATTTAGTGCACCCAAAGCACGCATTTCTGCTCTTGAGACTCAAAAAAGAATGGACGTTGTAACTTGTCTGGTTATTTCGTTAGACGCGCTGGAGTCGGCAATGCTAAATTGTAATTTTTTTGGGACTAGCGTGAATGAAAAAAAATCAATATAAAAAAAACGCATCGTCAAAATCTGTCGAACTTTTGGAATATGAACGACATAACATTAGCGCAGATACTCAGAAAAGATGGTATCTGCGCTTATTATATAAGGCTGTAAGTTTGCAATTTTATCCATCGGGCACACAATTCGCTATGAAGTAATTCCTCCAAATACAACTTTATGTGTCTAATATAATCATGAATATTCGCATATTTCTCGAAAGTTTATAAAAGTTATCATGAAGTTTCTCAAGGAAAAGTACAAATCGATTTTAGTGCTAGAATATATCTTCAACGTAGATCTAATACACGAACAGTATCTGTTACACTCCAGAAATTGCTTACTTTTCTTAAAACGCTAAGTCTAGATTTTGTAAGTTGACTGAATAATAAGGATGACTTCTCGTAATTGGGTTATAAGAATAATTTCTAGCTTTCCAGGGACACTGAATCAGCACCAGACTTTTCCAGCTTTTTTTACGTTTCTATGACCATTTGCAATAACTGACAATGTTACTGATTTCTTTACATTCATAATTGTGTCCGCGCATATTTCCTACACAAAAACTAAGAATGAATGTTTTAGCTGTCATTATTTTTATTCCATACTAGAAGTTTATCTCTACCCATGTATTTACACGGTTTTGTGGGTTTTTAAATCGCTTATATTATATCTTTTTAGTTGTATGCAGGCTGCCACAGACACAGCATGATTCATGAACAAACACAGAGTAACTTTTTCTTGTTTAATAGTAAAATAAGAGCTAACACGCTGATCGTCTTTAGTTAAAATATGCAGATGTGCATCTTTCTTCTCTTATAACTTGACTATTACTACTACCGCAGATTTAAGATTTCTCATGGTAAAAGACATGATATTCGTAGTCAGTTTAACACAGAATTTGGAGAGATCTGTCGTGCCTTTTTTAAAATAACAATCATTTATTCATAACTTTGTAACTAAAATAGGACAAATTGGGTACTCTACAAACACTTGTCTAGAACAAAAACTAAGGCCCAGAAACTAACCATTCTAACGCAGAATAAATCTCAAGACATTGAGCTTTTAGTACATCCGCGTAATGGTTTGCTGTGTGGGATGGGGAAGAAGTTATATCGTTTTAAACATAGTCAAAAATGCGAACTTCCCGACCGACACCGGCAAAGTCGCCTCAGGGCTCATTAACCCCGTGACCCCGAACCGGGGAGCTCCGGCGGGCTGCTGAGTCACGCGAACTAAGTAACAGAATCGGGCGAAAAGTGACGCCGTGCCCAGTGAGTCCCAGGCTATTTTAACGGCGATCCTCGAAAAGCGACCTTACTCCGCCTCTCATGTATGCGACATGCCTCAATGTATTAGATCTAGGCCTATAGGGGCCGTTCAAAATATAAACTTACACCTCAGAGGGGAAAGGGTGTCTTTGGCTTCTGTAAGAAAAGTGGAAGATTGGGTGGGGAAGTTAACCAAATATGACACTTCTGTGAGATGAACGTTTTTGCTCATGACTGGGAAGAAAAGGTGAAAGAAAAAGTGGATAAATGCCAGTAACAAGACCCAGATCTGCATGATCACTGCAGATCTCCGTTGTTGTTGTTTTGGTTTTTTTTGTTTTGTTTTTTTGAGAGGGGGGGGGGTTACAAATAATTTTGAAATTATGATGAAAATTCTGTAGGTGGACATCTAATTTCTTAATGTTTCTTTGTGACTTTGCAACTGTTTTGTTGATCTTTTAGTGTCTTGATGTCTTTTATTTGTAAGGCACGTACCTATTGCATTGACAACAGTCTCAATGTCTTCCACATATATGCGTTCTTTCTAGTTCATATGGTTTGATTAAATTGTATTAACTGAAATGTTCTTTTTACGGCGGTCACAAACTGATGACGTAGAACACGTTTTTCAGTCTTATAAATTCCGTCTTGGCTTGTAGGTCTTGTAGGCTACTATCTTATTTGTTATTTTATACTACATTTTACTAAATGACTAAACTAATGTAACATACTTTGAACTGGTTAAAACCGAGAGTAAGGCACTATAATTAAATGTCCTCTAATATTAGTATTATCATAATTATAGTCTTTATTCTGGACTTAAACAATTCAATGTTTTTATGTTCTTTACTAGGACCTTGTTGTTGTGGGATTCTTTGAAATAATAAAATAGATCGCATTTTTTAAGTTTTTGTGTTTTGTTTCTGATGTGCTCATATTATTACTGTCCTTTTTTACGGGGAACAGCTCACCCCAAGGGTGATTCTTTTTCCGATTCATATTTAGGAAAAAAAATTATGCGGGCATAAGAAATTATGAAGAAAGTAAATTTTGATAAGTCGGAAAATATGAAAGTTGCCATGGAATGGAAACAGCACCAACATGCAAAACAAACAATAATTTTAAAAAACCGAAAGCTTCTTACTCTCTAACAAAATTGCATGAAAATTGGTGGAATGGTAGATACAGATACTATGGTCAATCGTACTGAGCCAAATTTTGATATTTGAATGTAAAAAAATATATGTGTTCCTGTACCCTGAAATTGCATCACAATAATTAATAAATTAATCATTGTGAACACACAAAAAAAAATTTTTACACCTCTATCAAAAATCTGCTCAGTGCAAATTATAAGGAAGGAGGAACATTTTAAAGGCATTCCCAAGGCGAAAAGTGTTAACTTCAAAATGGCCGCTCTTCTTGTAGGTGTGGTACATGTAGTGATGTCAGTGAATGAGATGATGATGCTGGCATTGGCAGTGATGATGGTAATGATAGTGACGAGGAGGTGATGGTGGTGGTGATGATAAAGAGAGGGTGAATGATGATGGTGGGGAGAAGAAGGAAGAAGTGGTGGTGGAGGAAGGGAGAAGGAAAATGAAGAAGAGAATAGAATGACGGTGAAGAGGAGGAAATGGAAAACCTATGGGGCTGTTCAAATATAATCTTACACTTTTGGGGACTTTTTTAAAACACAAAACCCAATACCACTTTTCTCACATTTGCCTCCAACCCCCACCTACACCAATTTAATATTAGTACTTTTTCTGATCTTCAATTTCTATTATTATTTTAAAGATACCTGTACTATACGTGGCTTTTTTTAACTAGCTTGTAAAAAAGATATATCATTTCAGTTAATACAATTTAATCAAACCATATGGACTAAAAAGAAACGCATATATGTGGAAGACATTGAGACTGTTGTCAATGCAATAGGTACGTGCCTTACAAATGAAAGACATCAAGACATTAAAAGATCAACAAAACAGTTGCAAAGTTATAAAGAAACATAAAGAAATTAGATATCCACCGACAGAATTTTCATCATAATTTCAAAATTATTTGTACCCCCCCTCAAAAAAACAACCACAACAACAACAAAAAACAAAAAAACAACGGGGATCTGCAGTGATCATGCAGATCTGGGTCTTGTTACTGGCATTTATACACTTTTTCTTTCACCTTTTCTTCCCAGTCATGAGCAAAACGTTCATCTCACAGAAGTGTCATATTTGGTAAACTTCCCCCACCCAATCTTACACTTTTCTTACAGAAGTCAAAGACACCCTTTCCCTTCTGAGGTGTAAGTTTATATTTTGAACGGCCCATATAGGCCTAGATCTAATACATAGAGGCATGTCGCGTACATGAGAGGCGGAGTAGGGCCGCTTTTCGAGGATCGCCGTAAAAATAGCCTGGGACTCACTGGGAGGCTATCTTTACGGCTCGCCGTAAAAATAGCCACTGCGTTGTTTGTAAACTGTTCTGTTTTTGTGTAATAGTATGTATTTATGCATGTATGTATTTATGTATGTGTACGTATTTATAATTATGTATTTATGTATGTATGTTTGCCATTGTAAAACAAAGTGCCCTTCTGGGACAAATAAAAGTGTAATTATTATTATTATTATTATTATTAGATCTAATGTTAACTTGTAACCCGATCTGAGAATGCAATGGATTTTATTCTCACCTGGGTGTTGAGATCAGGTACGCCTAGCCTAAATACATATTATAATAGGATGGGCCACCTTTATTCTCACCCCTGGTGAGAATAGCTCATGACCCGCTATTCTCATCGCCACCTGTGCGAGCATGAGGCAAGCCTTGTTCTTAAAAGTTTTTATTAGAATTTGGCTAGATCTAGATATCTAGAGATCTATAACTGAATTAATTGTGATACCCCGTAGGTATCAGATGCGTGCTGCTCTTGACATTTTGTCCTTGCATAACCATAGATCTTGATCTAGATAGATTTATCTAGCTCTTTTTTTTGGTGGGGGGGTTTCACTGTTGTTTTCTGTTCATGGCGTGAAAATGGCCTTCACCCAGCCCATTGAATAAACTGAACCTGAAACTTATCTCTACAACTTGCAAGTTATTCTCTGTGCTGTTCTGCCTACTATTATATAGCACACCTGAGGGTGGTGAGAATAACGAGACATAGTATCTAAGCTATTCTCACCCCTGATGAGAATAACAGCTTCCACTAGGATGACAGAAATTGGTGAAATTAATACAGAGTAATGATTAGCCTACATGATACCATTACAACCTTGACCACGATGCAGACAAATTTGGCCCACTGTTGGCAGACCGCGAGGCGGACGAATTCGGCCACTCACTACCTCAGTTAGTTGTCAAAGCCCACAAAACCTGCTCAGGTGGTTTAAATTGCAAAATGGCCGTTTTGCAGGCTTCGGCAATCATGGCGACTATCGCCCTGTAGTGTTGTTATTCTTTCATTTTCAACCGAAACTATTGAAAAATGAGCGATTTAGATGACGATTTTGCTGGAACCATGGAGGAAAAAATTTCAGATGAAGATGTATACCATGTGATTTCTGTTGATGTTTTTTGAACCTGTGTAAGCTGTGCACAAGGCCTTGAGGCTCTGTTAAGGATTGTGTTGAAAGAACTGAAAAAGGTTTGGGATACTGCTTTAGGGCGAAAACATTTTTTTTTCAAGGATTTTTGTGAGTTAGTTCTAGAATCTAGATCTATGACAGATGATCAGTGTTAAATCCCAACGTCCTATAGTTTCTGTGATAGACTCTCAAATTTAAACGAATTAGACAGGGCGGAAAGGAAAAAACCTGGCTGAGAAAACATACTCACTCCATTCTAAATTCTAGCGGACAAAAAATATTTCCTGATCATCCATGGGCAAGAATGATGTTCAGTAACTTAACCCCTGTCCTGAATCTATGCACACGGATGAATGTATTTTGACACCATCGCTTTCCAATTTGATGTCCCGCATCTGTACTGTCCTGTTTAGCGTTTGTGTGCCAAACATCTCTGTGTGAGGTGTGGGTCCTATATTTTGGCAGTTGACGTGTGTGTGTGTGCGTCAGTCTACTTTTGTTTGTGTGTGCATGTGGCCTATTTCTAGAACTGTCTGCGTTGGTTCAAAACTGAGGCGGGTCTTGTTTGAAATTGGTAGCGCTAGATGTACGTCCAATGAAAATTGAACATATTGACCCACTAAGACATGAGGAATTGGAAAGGATAACAAGAAAGAAGACTTCCATTTTTCAATAAAAAATCTTTCAAAATCGCTTGATTTTACATGATAAAAATATATTTATGATTCAACTCTTTCCGGGCGTAGTTTTTTTGGGGGTCTAGACATAATTAACCTGTGGCTCGCTTTGGCTATGCAGGTAGTATACAAAATGACTTCATAGAAGCATAACCATCACTCCAAAAGTAACATATTGATATATCACATTGAAGGAAACTGAATGAGGAATACGTCCCTATATAAAACAAGGATAAATTTTTAACATAAGTATGCATTAGAAGGGTTAGAAACGGCGATGGTCACGAAAAATATATTTTGACGGAAAAAATTACATTCACCAAACATCTTTTTTCCATTGAGACACTATCAGTTCCGACTTCCGTTACAATGTTACAGAGGGAACAGAGAGAAAAACAACCAGATGTGCACGCATCAAACTTCTTATTATAGTTTACGGAATACCCGATACGAAAGTGTTTCCAATATAAAAAATGTAGGTTAATTTATGTGTTAAAACTTCAACGTCCACATATCATTAGTTTGCCCTATTTTCTGATTGTTTGCCAAGTTTCATTGGTATTGGTCTAGAAATAGAGCCGACCGAGTTTGAGAAAGTTAGTCTCCTACGTTCCGATCGGGTCCGAAAATACGCCTGTGAACGAGGACCAAAAATTGGCAGTGTGCGTTGACCCGATTGACATTGCTACATAAATCTAGATAATGTCTTTGAGATAGGTTAAATTTTTGCATTATTCTGTTCCCTTTAGTGAAGCAAGACATCCCACAGGCTGATGATGAGGCTATCAAAGTCAAGGAACAAGCCATTCTGGAAGTTGGCAAGCTGCTTGCAGATCAAAGGAAAGCAAATGGTATGTTATTTGCACTGAGGGATTTTTATTATCAGTTTTAAAAATTTTGTCTTTGTATGTAATTGGTCTAATTTCTTGAAGTCCTGTGTGACAGACTCTAGTTAACACACTTCTTTTTCACCAAATATGCACATGTTGTTGTATAGCATCTAATATCCATTTGATTGGTTTAAATAGTTAGGTAAACTGAACTCTACCCGGCACTGTATTATTCATTTTATGCAATTTCCACTTTAACAACCTTGAATAAAAGCATGCGAACTGGGGAAAAAAACACTTGAAACAGGCACCTTGTTTATCCTTGTGGACACAAATGTGCAGAACAACATGGCATACATTAATATTTGTAAGATCTAGTTTGAAACAGTGGCAGTTTTGCATATTTATATTATCATATTTTTTCATTTGTTCCTCTGTTTGTCCCTCCCTCAATTCTCAATTATAATTGAAGGAAGCAAAACAGTTTGTTAATGCTCGTGAGATAAAACTGCAAACATGCTACATCTTTCTCAGGACACACACCTTAAAAATATGTGAGGTTCTTTTGAAATTTCTGTTCGTCATAAAAATGTGGAGCAGACAAGCAATCACTACTTCTTTTGAATTTTTATTTAAGTGTCTACTCGCAATAACACTATTGAAACAAAGTGTTATTACTTGTGGATATTAATTTAAATAAAATCGCGAGGCTGCTGGAATTAAGGTTTAACATTGCTGCTATTTTTAAAAGCAGCGACTAACATTGCATTGAAGTGACATGTCTTTTTTTTAACAACTGAGAAATTTTCATTTATTTTAAAAGTACTTTTGGTCAACACTATAAAAAGTCATGCTTTTTTCTTAACCTGTATTCTTCTGTCAATACTGAAAGGTCTGCAATATATTCAGTTTGTTTGAGTGTAAGGAGGGGGGGGGGGTATACGGATGTTAGTTTGATTAATCAAAATATGTTAGCTTTTTGTGATTACCATTTATTAGATACTATTCTGGTACTAGAAGTGTCGTTATAGATAATAGTGTGGTTTTTATTTCTATTGAAAGTTAAGCAAAAATGGGTCTTTTTTTTTCCCCCTTTCACAGAATTGGCCAACTTAATCAAAATTGTTCGTCCATTCCTGAACATGGTGAGCAAAGCGAAGGCGGCGAAACTGGTTCGAGCTCTTGTAGATCTTTTCCTGGACATGGAAGCTGGCACTGGCAGCGAGGTAAGCTATAGATCAGAGTGTTTTCTCTCTTCTGTGCTGATTCATGATGAATGTATTTTTAGATAGAATCATAGATGCTTTTGCATCTATTGGTCCCCATGGGAAGATTTGGTTTACAAGGCATAGTATATATTCAGTAATATCGTCCTCAGGCTCATATTGTTTTTGCTGTTGTAAGTTAAAATTTGTACCTAAGCAGTTATTTAAAATTAAATCAAGAATTGAACCAGTGGATACATGTTTTATATCACAGTTAATGTTAAAATATGTAGTAGATTTGATACAAAGAGTGCACTGCATGTGTTTTCTCAGCAGTTGTTGGTTAGTTAATTAAGGAGGGAGACTGGTGAAAATGACTTACCATCCCATTTTCTGGCAAAAGGTTGTTTGACATTTTTCTCAGGTTGAGCTATGCAAAGAATGCATCCAATGGGCCAAAGATGAAAAGAGGACTTTCTTACGCCAGTCTTTAGAGGTATGGTCATTGGAAATTTTTTTATTTAGATTATTCTTCTCACAGTTGTTGCTAGGTGGGTAGTTAAAGGTTATCATAAAAGTAAGCCCTGCTTATTTCCTTTCCTGTCTTGTTTCTATTTGCTACAAAATGGCTGTTATTGCTTCGATGTTCATCTCTTCATTTAACTCAGTTCCTGCTTGGTGTGCATGCTGAGTCATATTGACTTGGACGTTTTCTTCTGTTGCAACTGTGTGTGGGTGGTTGGCAGGTGCTGATGTGTTTTGGTCCTTCTTTCTTATTAAACATCTTTCGCCCTTAAACTTAAACTCTCTCCTCCTTCTTTGTGTTTGTTACTCCGTTGTAGAAGCACTAAATCTTCAGCACTTTTATGACGTAATTGTGTTGCAAGTACCATTAATCGCTTACTAAAGATACTGTTGTGCTGCTTGTAATCTGGAGGTATGCAGCATGTTTTGGAAGAGTTGCAGCGATGGATGTTAATTCTTTTTCGTTTTACAAAATAACTTTTATGTGGTTAGTACATTTGGATAATTAATTTTCAACCTTAGGAAATATTTTTTTAAATAGTAACAAATAAAATTTCACTTTTATTGGTCCATGTGGGAAGATTTGGTTAAAATTGCATAGCATATATTCAGATTTACGATTCACTTCTTTCACTCTGGTATTGAGTATAGGCTGCTGAGACAGGCTCTCCGCCTGTTTCTGTCATGAACAATCTTCTCCACCTCTCGCCAGCTGTGTCCCATATGCCTGAGATCTGCCTCCAAATTTCACTCTTTGGTGGATCTCGGCCTTTCTCTCTTTCTCCTCCCCTGGCGGTTCCATCTAAGGATTTGTTTTGTAATTTGTGGGCTGGCTTCCTAAGCTTGTGTCCAGTCCACCATCATTTTTTTTTTTTAATCTCACGGTGAATTGGTTGTGTAATAGACAAACATAAATACGCCAATTAGAATATTAATAATAATAAATAGCATTTGTATAGCGTATATCCCTGCTCTACAGCAAGCTCTATGTGTTTTACACTATTTTAATCAGCAGATCATAAAACACTCAGAAATGTTCTCAGCTTCCCGGGAAGCACACAGTGCAAGCAGCTGATTAAGCGCTCACACACGAACAAACTCACAAGATCTTTCGCTGTCTACATACGTCATAAGTACATGACATTGTATAGATACATAGACTGAAATATACAGATATGCTGCAAACACACTGTTCTTTGGCCCCGCTTAAATTTGTAGTGCCCTGTTTTTTTTAGCTAGAATTATTGATTCTTGCTCAAAGACAGAACCCCAGTGACAACTCACCTAAACGCTGGGTCACCAACATATGCTTCACATCATTTATGATAATGCTTGAACTCACTTACCATTCGGTTTCTGGAGACACTGTGTGGTTCAAGAATCTTTACATTCATTATGTTTATATGGTGTGCATAAAGGCACCATTCAAATTGGAATGCAGCATGTGTCACTATTTTCAGCCTGATCAGTTGGGGAAGATTGCAATTTTTATCTGTCGGGACACCTATGAAAACACATGAGTTTTTTAATTTTCTGATTGTTTCAGGCAAGGTTGATAGCCCTGTTCTTTGACACAAAAAAATATCAAGAAGCACTCCAATTAGGTAAGTTTGTGTGTTTTTCTAGAGACTTAAGTAACCATGTCTTTTTCGTTTTGTTTCGATTCATATTTTTAAAATTCATGAAATGTAAGTTATATGTCCTTTTCGGATTTTTTTAAAATTAACATTTTAAGAATTAATTTCTCATGCTCATGTAAGACTAAGAGTATTATGTGTCAGGGTTTTGTTTTTCTTTTTGGTTGGTTTTTTTTCTTCAATATGATCACCATTTTTGTCCCAGTAAAATGTTCTCAGTGCTCAAATGATTGAAAATGGAAGCAATGCTGGCGTGTTCCCTTATGATTTTTAAAAATATATGTTTATTTTTCAATGTGCAAGACTAAGAATTCGTCATATTTGCTTGGTCAAAATGGCAATGTTCTTTTATGGTTCATGATTTTTTTAGTCTGTGATCAGCTATTGTACGTTCAGGCTTCTGTTAAAATACATTACGTTTATTCTTTTCATTGCCGTCCAAGGGAAAATTGAGGCTTTGTTGTATTTTTGAGTTTTTCAGAGGTTTTTCTTTCAACGTATTATTTCTCTTTTTTTTTCATGTTCAGGCTCTGTTTTGTTGCGGGAACTGAAGAAATTGGACGATAAAGCTCTGCTGGTTGAAGTGCAGCTTCTCGAAAGCAAAGTGTACCATGCTTTGAGTAATTTGCCAAAAGCCAGGTTTGTTTCCAGTGTTTATCTCAATTTGATTTATTTTCATGATTTTTTTACTCTTTTTGGTCTTGATTTTTATAAGAATCAACAAAGATGTGTTGATTTTTTTTTTTTATGTTGTGTGCTCTTGTTCAATATGACATGATATCATGAATGTTATATTTGCACTTTGTTTTGCTGCCTAAAATGAAAATATTTGTACTGATTTTGTCACGTGAATTACAGAAAATGCACACATCTGATGATAATTTGTAGGTGGGGGGGGGGGGGGGGGGGGGGATGTAGTGGGGTGTTTTGAATCTCAAACAAAAGTCCTCCAGATGGGGTCACCCTCCCTCATTTGGATAGATGGGTGAATAACAAAAGATTTGTGACCGTCTGCTCCTATTGTTCATTTCTCAAATGTTTTACCATGTTCACGGTCAGAGTAAGAACACCCCTCGGGGCAGTTCCACTAACTGTAGTGTCTTTAGGCCATTCCCAAAGGGGGGACATTTCTCGTTCAAGCACAGTAGAATTGTAAATGGGCTGATTCATGTCACGGTCATTACTGTGCCTGATCTACAACAGGGAACTGCTGCTTTTTCTTTCTTAATCCTTACTATTGTCATTTTCCTCTACTTCTTTTGTATGTTTGTCACTCTCTTGTGACCTGCTATTTCCTGGGTGCCTTGATAGTCGAAGCAGACCTTGTGCTGTTGAAGCTAGAGAGGTGAGCAGAATAAGTCTGATTCCCTGTAAACACTTCTGTTGACACCTACCCCTTGGCGCTGATATGACCTTATGCAGTTGCGAGCGTCGTAAAACCTTCTACTATAAAAAATATATATATAAAAGAGTAAGAACATTAGCTCTCATGCCTCCTTGTAATAGATGGGCATAACCTGAAAGGCTATGAGATCAAAGATGGTCGCCAAATGGCAAAAATCTGTCAATTTTAGCTTTTGGTGAAATACAAGTGTATAAAAGCCAATGTGGCCACCATCGGCCATCTTGAAAGAGGGGGATAAGGTGTGTGTGAGTGTGTGTTTTATTTCTTCAGGATGTGCAAATGAGTAAATAATAATTTTTTCAGTTATTCTTCTTTTTCTGATCAAATGATTTGCCTTCACCTCGTAATGTATTAATCAGGAATCAAAACTTAAGAACTTAAGAATTTTTGTCTTTTTACACATGGAGTGATTTCATTTTAGTGATGGACCGTGTGCACCAGTTTATCTGCTCTTTCTGAAACCATTACAGGATGGTCTGTTAATTCCATGGGAGCTCCGATTTGTTCTTTTATGTCTTTTTTTTTGTTGTCAAGCTTGAAACATATAAGTAAAATTTTACAATGAGGAGGACGGATTTAGATTTATTATTCATTGTTCGTGCTACAGGGCAGCCCTTACCTCAGGAAGAACTACAGCCAACGGAATTTACTGCCCACCCAAACTTCAAGCTGCCTTGGATCAGCAGTCAGGTGAGCCCGCACATTATTTCAGGAAGGTTTGGGGAATTCATGGGGGAATTTAATGGCTGTAGTATTGGTTTTCTTTGTCTTTGGGAAAGAGGAATGGAAAGCTGTATTCTGATTGTAAAGTATAAATCACCTCTAATACAGGACAATGTTTTAAAAAAACACATTAGCTTTTTTATCCGTAACGCATATGAATTCATGTACACACACATACACACACCACAGAAAAGCACATCTGTTAATCTTCTTTTAAGCTTGTAGCGTACTTATTAGTATTTTATGTTAATGGTTTGAATTACAAATGGTTTTTAACAAACTTGAGAAATGTAGAGGACACATGTGCCTTTTTATCCATGAACGTTTGTTTTCATTTATCTGGATGACGGCATGGTACCTCACGAGTGTATGAACTATGCCAGTCCCGAACCTTTGGTAGCAATTTGTATTTTGTTTTGATCAAGTAACTTTTACTTTTCTACTTCAGGTATTCTCCACGCTGCGGATGAGAGGGACTTCAAGACAGCCTATTCCTACTTCTATGAAGCTTTTGAGGGATATGATTCTATAGACAGCCCCAAGGCTGTGACATCCTTGAAGTACATGCTTTTGTGTAAAATTATGCTGAATACGTAAGTGGTTTTTAAATCTATCTTTCGCTGTTATGACTAGACTTTTAGGTATTGGTTTTGACCTCCCTCAACATGTAGAAAACGTCTCTCTCTCTCTCTCTCTCTCTCTCTCTCTCTCTCTCTCTCTCTCTCTCTCCCTCTCTCCCTCTCTCCCTCTCTCTCTCTCTCTCTCTCTCAGGTTACTTCTGTGCAGTCATATAGTATCTGGCAATTCCTGAGATTTTTTTGATTTTTTCTCATTTCCTTTGGTTCACCAGTTGTTTGGGGGTTGTTGTTTTTTAACCAGTATCCCCACATCTGTTCAGAATGTTAGTGATTTTTTGAAATTAGTTATTATAAGTAAATGAGTTTGTAGCTATTTATGTTTCGATGAATGCAGATATAATGTGAAAAAGTTGTAAATTCTCTCTTTGCTTTCCTTTTCTTTATTATGTGAATAATTTTTTTTTAAAAGTTTAAATGTTTAAATGAATTTGTCAGTTGTTGCACCTCTCAGGTATATTTGATCGCTTTGTGTATATTACAATAAATATATTAATATAGCTCATTTATAGTGATGTGTACATGTATGATGAGAGCAAAGGTGTGTGTGTGCATGTGTATGTGTGAATAAGTGTTTGAGCGTGTAAGTGTGTGTGTGTGCATAGGAGCAAATGTTCATGTTAAAGCACATTTCATTAGACGCTATGAAAAATATCTAGATATTATTACTATTTCTTATCCGTTTGTTTCCTTTCAGGGTTTTAGGACTACGTACATCTGTTTGAATCTTGAAAAATGTTTTAAGTTTTATCTGTTGTGTCCTCAGTGCTGATGAAGTTCAGGCCATTGTCAGTGGAAAGCTAGCTCTCAAGTACAGTGGTCCTGAAGTGGAGGCAATGAAAAGCATTGCTCAAGCAAGCCATAAACGTTCCTTAGCAGACTTCCAGAAAGTAAGCTTCCTCTTCTGGTTCTAGGACAGACGTCGGTTTGAAGTTGTGTCCCTGAGATAGGCAATTTACAGGGATTCCCTCACTTTACCCATGTTAGAATTGGTGCCCGTCTTTAGACAGTGAAAGATCTAGTCAGTTTGTTAGTGTTCGAGTTCTTAATCAACTTCTTGCAGTGAATGCTTCCGGGTACTCCGAAAATATTTCGGAGTGTTCTAGAGTCTGCTGGGGTGATATCTATATGCTGGGTTCTGTTGCATACTAAAGACAAGTTAAATTCCCACAGAAGTCTATTTTATCAGGATCTCCAGCTTTCTGCCTGATATTTGTGTTCCGTTCAGCTGTGAGTTGGCCCTGACGAGCAGGAGCAAAGCAACGTACCTATAATATAGTCTAAATTGTGTCGATGTCAGCGCCAAAAAATTTACCATGAATTCAGAAGTTACTTAAGTGTCACGACACGGTGGAATCAGGTGCTCGTCGATTTTTGGATTTTTGGAATTATTGGTATCATCTTAAAGCCTAATCATTTGCCTTGCTTTGAATTTAATAAATATCCTTCTATCTTGAATAGAAGTCAAAATATTTGTGATTGAAGGAAGTGTGGGTCACCAGGTTTGGAGGTAAAATTGAAAAGAGAATGGCTGCAAAAGTTTGGTGACTTTAGTCGTTTTTCTGTAAAAATCCACTCAGAAATCTGTTTTTAAAGGGACAAAAAAAAATGTTAAGCCAAAAAACAAATATTTGATAAGAATTGTCAAACCAGCAGAAAAATGCGGGTTTCTTCAATTTCAGTATTTTAGCGAGCACCTGATTTCACTATGATGCCTCACATATAATACTAACGAGTACTGAAGTAACAAGATAATTTTTCACACGGTTAGAGCAGATGGTTTCTCTAAGCTGGCTCACAATACTTTACCCTACCTGTCCCTACACAATGATATAGTGGGTTAATTTGAGTCACTCGTACTGATTGTAATCTTTTTGTTCGCAGTGGGTAGGTCTTAGATGAACTGCACTTTGAAACAAATTTTTTTTTTATTTTGCACTGTACAGTATTACTCTCCTTTGGCCTTTTTTCTCTTTTCTGAAATAGCCCCAGATAGAGCATATAAACGCTGTCGCAAGCAATCCACTGAAGTCCAAATTTTGAGAATTTCCAATTTTTCCACCTTCCCAAAGGTCTACCAAAGATGCACCTTTCAACATCACTAAAATACAGTTTAATGCCATTGTCAAGGCTTACAATTTTCATGCTTTTTATGATTCCTAATAGGAACAACTCAACAAAAACTAGTTTTTTTTATCTCTGTAAAAAGTACTCAAAGAGACTGAAAAGCAATGCTTGCGACACGGATGGTATCAGGACAGAACTTTAGGGTGAGATCTAGACTTTTTGGTCCCAAAAGGGTTCCACAGTCCAGAGTCTTATTCCAATTCTCACCATAAGCAGTACACAATTGTAATGGAAGATAACATAAAGAAGAGTGTACATTATTGCTTTTATAGATTTCAAGTGTACATGTTTTTTGTATCTCCTTGTGTTGAGTAAGGTTCAATGATTGTGAGCTTTTATAAGTGAGGCTTTGGGGTATTTGTATAATTTTAAGTCCTGAAGGCATATGTCTCACTATTTTAATGTCTGATTCATCTTTTTTTGCAAGAAGAGTTTTCCTGAATATTTGCTAAGTCCACTTGTATGATTTTCTATTGTGTCGAAAATGCTTATCGTTATGACTTCTCCTTTCAGACTCTGGTTACCTTTAAAGCACAACTGGAAGATGACCCCATTGTCAATGCTCACCTGAAAACCTTGTACGATAATCTCCTGGAGCAGAATCTGTGCCGTATCATTGAGCCTTTTTCTAAGGTCCAAGTCCAGCATGTTGCAAACCTCATCAAGCTTCCAGTGGTAGGTTGATGGCACCGCTGTTTGTAGCTGCAAATTGTGGGGAAGAAATTGCAATACTCCCTCCCCTGCCCAGTATTCCCTCTGTTTGTAGTAGTCATTTGGGGAAGTCTCTGCAGACACACGATTTAAAGGTGTTTGACCCATAAATTAAAGAAAATTATTCTTTACCGACAGATATGACTATAATATGTATTTAAAAAACAATTTTTATGCCTTTAACGATAGTACCAAATACATTGATCTGCATGACACTATTATGAGGCTAATAATATTCAAGCAAGTCACTGCAAAAATTATACTAACCCTCACCCTGTCTTTTTTTGTCCCCGGAGATGCCCCTATGTGCATAGACTTTGGGAAAACCCAATATACCATAGTGTTAAAGGACCATCTTGAGTGGTTACCAGGAATGGCAACTGCTATTGATTGGTATTCATTTGTATGAAGAGCTTGCAATTATTTATGGATTGCAACATGTAAGTGAGGTTTTGATAGAATTGGTGTCTGTGTTACAAAAAAAAATGAAGTACAAAAGTGTCAGGGATTTGCAGTTATATGATTTGAAGAGGGTCAGACAACAGTAAAATGTGCTGTTATAAGATTTTATTGGTTTGTCATGTGGAAATTCAAGTGTCTTTTTGTCGTGAGCTGAGTTCAATAGTCTGTGTGTGATCTTTGGTGTTAGTTGGGGGGGTTGTTTGGGGGGGAGGTTGTCAAGAACATTCAAGTTTAAGGAATTTTTGTATGTATTTTAGATTTGTATAAGTAAGTTAGTCGCTTGTATCTTTCTAATGCTCTTTATTATTTTTAATCTGAAACAGGCCACAGTGGAAAAGAAGTTGTCTCAAATGATTCTGGATAAAAAATTTCATGGTAAGCCATATTACCTTTTCTTATTTTAGTTTCAAGGCATTATTAACTCTATCCCAAAGTATATTACTTTTTACAAAAAGTGTTGTGGCAGATGGAAATGAATGATTGTAAGGACAAAAGCACTCTCATGGAGGACAGTTATTGTGGCTTATGGTAGAGTGCCAGCCTCTGTGATTCAGCTGGTGTGTAATAAGTGGTACAGGAAATTAGAATAGTTTTCTCTTTTGATCATGATCTCTTTGCAGCATGGTAATGACATAGCTGCCACTTTCCCGTTAAATAGTGGAAACTCCGCTACATCTAGCTTTCCCCGCAACTTTCCTCCTTCCTCCGCTGGACCGCTCTTGGTCGCAAATTTCATACTTTTTTTCCACGCGGAAAACACCGAACCGGGAGAGAGACGAAAACGCGGTCTGCGCATGTCCGCCCGTAGCTTTCTACTTCCGTTCTTCTAGGCCCAGCGCTAGTTTCACATTGTTTATTGTTGTGGAGCAACACAGTGTCGATCGGGCATCGGGACGTTAGCGCGCCGAGTTGTCATTGAAATTGGCGGAAATCCGAGAGAAATTGATTCAGAATGCAAAAATAAAAGGAGCTGGAATGAGAAAGAAGCAGCCGGTGTGCGACTTGAAAAGTTCATTAGAAAATTGAACTAGCTGTTTTTTGCGAAAGAAATCGCGACCCGCGGCACTCCTGTTACACTCCTGTACAATTGCGGTCCCGTTTGTTTACATGACGGCTATTGTGGCTGCTGCGGAAGTGATTCTAGATCTAGATTTAGATCTAGAAAATCTATCTCTAGATATAATCTAGATTTACACATATTTAGATATATCTAGATCTAGATTAGATAGCCTAGGCTATAATTTTAATTCAGTTTATCTCTAAATAAGAAACACACTACAGGGGCACTAAGTGCAAACGGGACCGCAATTGTACAGGAGTGCCTGTGTATCCTTGATCCGATACTGCTCTACGTCTATGTATGTACACGTTTAAAGTGAAAGAAATCTTTTTATGAGACACCGGCTGGCAAAAAACACTAGATTTTTAGTCACCAAGTCCAAACTGTGTCAAATTGGCTCGAATGCTTGTTAGTCAACTTACTGCCTTTATGTTGTTGTTTTTTTCAAATACATTTTAATTCAGTTGCCTATGGTTAACAATATGACAGTTTTCCCTTCCAAAACCGTAGGCTAGATTTTCCAGTATATATTGCCTCTGGATCTCACTGGTTTAGGAGAGCGCGTGTACGCTTTCGCGTGAATTTCCTCCTTTTTAAAAATTTCTGAGTGGCAGCTATGTAATGATAGTTTTCTGCTCTATTTTTTGTTAGTCTCATACTTAATCAGTGTGTCTCACAGTAGTACAAGTAAACTGGCACTGTAAATTTCATGTTTACACTTTTTAAGCTGGTACTTGTCAAAACGAAATACCCAATAGTACTTTTGTTATTAGACATAGAAATGCAAAGGCGTGTGGTTAGAGTGAATGTTACCTCTATGGCAAGCTGAATAACACATCACATTGTGAAATCAAAAAGAAAACCCATTGCTTTGAGTTCATTGCCCATGTGATATGAAGTTATGGCATTGTCTGCTGTACCTAGTAATATCAGAGATGGAACCACCTGTCCCAGTTAGTAAAATGGTTTGCTCATTTGTAATCACAGAACAGTTGAGTAAGTAGTTTTGCACGCCTAAGATGTCTGTAATATATAGAAAGCAGTATAGTCTACAGTGATGATGCTGGTTTTGGTCTGACTCTTGTGTGCCACTGTGTGCATTTACTTTTTACAGACCTTCAAGACTCAAGGGAGTGTCAACCATAAGAATAGTGTCAACACAAGTGATATTTGTGACAGTGCATGCTATCAAACGTTTTCTAGGTGTCTTTGGAATTAAAATGATGACTCTTGGACAAATTGAAAGGTGACATAAAATGAGCATGTGAGAAAACAGTATTTCTGTGGCTGGATGCAAGAATCTGACAAAGACCAAACTGGTGAATGTCATTTGTCAGAATCAGCAAAAATGATGTGTGTGTTGCTTCCCTTTGGTCTATTATCTTTACCGGAGAAAGGGTCTTTCATGTAATTTTGTTTTTGCCACTGTCCTGTGAAATTTGCATTTACTTGACTTGTTTTGGGGGTATTTTGTTTATTTGGGGGTTTTTTTTCGTTTTATTTGATTGTCTCTGTCTTTATCTCTCTTCACCCAGGTATCCTGGATCAAGGGGCTGGTGTGTTGATCGTGTTTGAAGAGTCAGAGTCTGACAAGACATACGCCAATGCTCTGGACACCATTCACAACATGGGGAAAGTGGTAGATGCCTTGTACCAAAAAGCCAAGAAACTCACATAGTGATCATCTTTCTGTCTAGCACATCCCTCTATAGACATTTGCTGTGTATATAATTTTCAGTCTGTGACATAATGATATTTTTATTTCATGGACTTTTTTTTTGGCGGTACTGAGATAAAGACCCATGTTCATCGCACTGTTTTGCAGCATCTCTTATTTGATACATACTTGTGCTATTTCATTTAAATTGGTATTGTTATTTATCATGATGACCCCTTTATAGGATAATTGTGTGTCCTTTTGGAAATAAACATAAACATAAAAGTTTAGGTTTTTTCAATCTTGTCTCTGGAACAGGTGATGCGAGATTCTTTATGAAAATAATATCTTAGTCACTGACACGCATATTGCTGGGTGAGGGGGGGGGCGTGTTACCAAAAGTAAGATTTTCTTGACATGACTATAAAGTTCTAGTTTGTTTATGTTGTGAGGGGGGTATTTCATTCTTATGTTTTATTTGGGGGTTTTTGTTGTTGTTTTTTGGGGGGGAAGAGGCGGCAGGGTTTATTAAATAAGATTTTTTTTTGTAATGAGGCTGGTATTCAGAAAATTATACGTAGCATGTCTCTTACATTGTTCTCTGGGGATTTTTCTTTTGCTCCTTTATGAAAGTCTGAGCCATAGCAAGGCTGAAAGCAGTGATGCCCTTGTTGTAAACAAATAAATGCTACTATTGGCCACCAAAACTGCTTTTTACAGAATTTTTTTGTAATGTCATTTTTCTTCTTTTATGTCAATACCTCTTCGTCTACGAGTCTACTGACGTGTCACAAGAATGAGGTGCAATCCTTTGTCTAGTTGCCTTTTGAAGCTTTTGACTTATTACTACCATTAGATGACAGCATATGTCAGTTTGAAAATCAACCTCCTTTGCCCTCAACCAGACTCTGTGTTGGTGGGTGGTTGGCATGTGCTCAGGTGTGGTTTGATTTTTCCTTCCCATCAAACATCCTTTGTCCTTATCTCCTCTCCGTCTTTTTTGTGTTTGTTACTCTCTTGTATCACTTCTTCTAATTTTCATCACTTAGATAACCTCATTGTGTTGCAAGTGCCGTAAAACTCTTAATAAAACTAAAGGCTGGAGATGATTCAGGGTAAAAGAAAGAAGTTGCAGTTGTAACTCTGTTTTTTTTATGTTCTTACAAAGTTCCTTACCAAAAGGAAAAAAATTGTGATCATTTCTCTCTAAGACTGGCTACTTTACAAATGTGTGCCTTATCTACACCAGAAATAATTTGGCTTTTTGATAAATGTACATGAAGATCTTCAGAAGAACAAGCTGAGCCACAGCTTGGGTTTGTCCAGGTTCTGTGTTTGTGAGAAAAATCTAATGTACATCTACTTTTTGGGGGGAGGGGGGTGTCTTTTTAGAATCAAAATATTTCTGTTTTGAAAAGGCATAGCTGCAGTAGCAGTTTTGTACAATTATAGCCAACGTGTGAAAATTCTGAGACCAAATAGTACAAATACTCTTTCTAAATACTCTTCCTGATAGGGGAGGAAATTCTCCTTATTTTAAATAGTCCTGTTTGTGCCTATTTAGGTGTTTAATGCCAACAAAACGAAATGTAGGACTTTTGTTAAGAAGAAGAAGCCATATGGGTTTAGTTTAAGAAACACTGTGGAAATTGTCTCAGTGTGAATCACACATCCTTCTGTTTAATTTCTGGATTTCTCATCTTGCCTTTCTTTTCCTTTCTTCTTTGGATTGGACCACCATTCTGTTGATATGATGAGTTTGTTGGATTTACTTGTAGAACCATCTAGAAAAATATGGCTTCTGTGGTGTGGTGCTGTAGACCTGAGTTTCCTCCCGAGCAGGGATACTTTTTTTTTTTACTATAACTCAAGCGGGATGCTGTATCCCTCTCTGCATGGATTGGCCTTGACCAGTCTCCAGTCAAAGCAAATGGCCTCTTAAAAGATCTAAACTGTCAATGGGGGGATAAACAATTACATTTTTTTTATCTAGAAATGTTGGGAGTAAGTTATACTCGTGATTCATAACTAATGAAACATCACAAACCATCTGTTTAAAATGGACTGAGTTTGCAAAGGAAAACTAAACAATTCCAGCCCTAAATTACTACAACCTATTTTTACATGGGTTTTTTTTTTTTTTCTACGTAGGTGTTTTTAAGCAATTTAGTTTTTATTTAGAAGGGAGTCTTCCAATCCTGCCAGTCTGGGCCAACTTATTGAATACAACGTCTCAGCAGAGAGACAGATACAATCCTCGATAAAAAATTTCTCCCCTCTCATGAATCAAACTCGGGTCTCCTGCGTAGGACAGCAAAGTGCGTAATTGCTATACCACAGACATCAGTACATGTATGTCTGAAAAAGATCTAATTTGAAATTTAGTGGATGCTGCATAATATATTTCAGATAAAAACATTTTCCAGTATTAAGATGACTTTTTTGTATACTGCTGGATTTGACTTCTATCTTCCGAAGCGAAGTCAATTTTATTATTCAAAAAATGAAGAAGACGGTTAGAAGGGTTAGACCAAATATTTTTTCTTTATTACTAACTCTAATTGACATAATACTTTCTGAGAATGCCTGTTGGGGATGTTATGTGTCACTACAAGAAAATTAAATCACTTTTCAAAAATTGTTTAAGAAAGCGTTCAACTGCTTGACATCTTCCACATAATATGAAGGGAAGGTACAAGAAGACCTACTTTAGCAGTGGGTGGTTGGCAGGTGTGATGGTGTGGTTTGCTCTTTCTCTCCTATCAAACATCCATCGTCCTGATCTCTCCTCCTTTTTTGAGTTTGTTACTCTCTTGTAACACCTCTAATCTTCAGCACTTATATGACCATATTGTGTTGCAAGTGCCGTAAAACTTACAAAAACTAAAAACTTTAGCAAAAGCATGAAATTGTAAGAATTTAACGCTTCTTGCAACATTGTAGGGTATGTTATTCAAGAGGTAGGAGCTCCGAATTTAAAGTCCATCTGCGATAGGACCAAGCCAGTTTAACAAATTCATTAAAAGTGCCTTTCCTGACGCAATGTTGGACCGAGCTGATCCTTGAACCCCCAAACCCAAAATCTCACAATGACGAGTCCATTAACCTAACCACTAGGCCAGGACACATAGCTATGACGGGTTTAGAGTCGCTCGTAGTAGTGTGTAATTATATCATGTATAATGGCAAAGTTGGAGGTAATCGCTTTAGAGTGATTTGTTTCTACGTTCTTCTAGTTACCAGTCTTATGTCATGATGTACATCTGTAGACGAAAGGTGGAGGGGCTTACTCCAGATGCTTGCGATACCTTTACCATGTGCGTCTTGTTCTGGAAGAAAATGTTTCTGTTGGGCACGAGGGGTTATGGTGGGGGGGGGGGGGAGAGATGTCGCAGTATGAGTGATCGTCCGAGAGATCTCAGATTTTGCATTCGTTTTCTTTAGTTACTGCAGTACAAGTACAAGTGCATGTAATGTACAGCCTTTTGGTAAAAGTTTATATTTTTGATATAACTTGAGTTGTGTGCAAAAGCTTACTTTTTCGCCAGAGTAGGAAAATGAGGGGCACGCGTGGTAATTTTTTAATTTGAAAAAAAATGGGGGGGGGGGGGGGGGGTAGTAATGCACACTCGGTCACCAAATGAAAAATGTGCAAGACAAATAAGGTTTTAGATACAAAAAGCCCTTTCTTAAACAGATTTTTAATGCTCTCTCAAGCTCCGCCAAAGTGAATCACACGATGGTCCGAAACCTCGTTTAATTTACCACAGCATTTCTGCTTTAGACTGTCTGCAAATGTGTGCTGTGCCTTTGTCACGATGTGTTCAATTCTGCTGTAACGTCCTCAAACTCTTTCTTCAAAGAGAGGTACTCGAGAACAGGCACTGGGAGGTCTGTAAGGGACTGGATCTTCTTTAACAGATTTGTTTCCATGGATCGACGCACAGTTTGTCGACAAAGATGTTTGAGGGAAGGTTTCTCCCGGAACCCCGCCAATAAAGCTAAAACATCGTTGATTTCCTGCGACTCAGTGTCTCCCAAACTCTCAACGTGTTGGATCAATTCACCACGAGTTCTATGGTCAGCATACCCGAACTTCATAAGCGCTTTACACACTGGGAACGAGTGAATATGAACCGCCAGCTGAAACAGACTGACTTCTTTCCCAGAAGCTTCGCTCAAAGCTTTGGTGTATTCCGAGAAATCCCAATCGTGTGTCCTCATCATTAATAGCGTGTTTGACACAGACCCCAAGATTTCAAGCAGCATAGTCTCTATGATGTTGGGATTTCCTTTTCTAAAAGCTAACTGAAATCCTGTTTCTTTGCCGGTGTTCTTTGCCACTAAAACCTTACAGCTGTCTTGCATGAGAACTCGCACGACTTGTGTGCACTTATTTTCCACCGCTTGCATCAGCGGCGTGCTGCCCCATACGTTCACTACGAACTGGGAACACCTCCCAACAGCAAGCAAGTCCTGAACAATTTCAGAGGCACCGTGTCTCGCAGCGAAATGCAACGCTGTCTCGTTGTTGTTGTCAGAAATGTTGTGCTCTGCGTTGATTCTCATTATGCGGGAAGCGCAGTGAATTCTGTTGTAGATGGCGGCTTTCATGAGCGGCGTCTTGCCCGAGATATCTTGAGCGTTGATGGTGGCGCCCATGTGTAGCAGGATGTCTAGCATGTGGCGACGGTCGCTCTGCGCCGCGTAGTGGCAGGCGGTGTTCCCGAAGATGTCGCGCAGGTTCAGAAGAGCCCCAGCTGCAACGAGCACCTAGGAAAGATCAAAAGCAAATACGAAGGGAAAATCAAAACATGTCTTGTATTATATTGTACTATCACTTACTCAAAATTTAGGCAACAATGTTGCATACACAGTACGCAGAATATTTTAAATTTCATAAGTTACAACATACTTGTATTCCTAAATGGATAATAAAAATAGTTTCCGTTTTACTACTTACTAAACGTTTCTATACGTTTAATATCAAACTATACAGTATACAGCACGTACACAAACAATGCCACAGACATGGTTTCTTGTCTCCTCAGGGTAGTGTCTTCAAAAGGAAAAGATGTACACTGACGATTTTGCCTACAACTACAAGCACGTGAAGATTATGTATACTTGCCATACTTAACCCTCAGAACTTACATTATATTTAAACTATTTCACGAAAATATGGTCACCTTCAGTAGTCTGTCTCTCACCGATAAACTGTCAGCAATATCCTTTCTTTTATTTTTTTATTCAGCCTTTAAGGAACCATATCTAACACATTCCATGTTCATGCCAGTACTTTGTAGGGCGATATCGCTACCTCAGAATTATAAAGTTCTATCTGACGTTTTTGGCCGTTTTGAGTTATTAAAAACCACGAAGTCAGACAATAAATGCTCAATCTATATCTGCTCTATCAGATCGAAAGATTGTTCTGAGTCTTTATCAAGATATTCAAAGAATTGCACCCGAAAAGCTTAAAATGCTGTGAAACTAAAAAATATTTTCGTCAAATTTCCCAAAACTAGATACTGAGCAGATGAACTTTGTAATTTTGTGGTAATGATATGTCAGATCAGCAGACGAAAGGCAAAATTGGACGACATTTTGCACCATAGCCTAAATCTGAAATACGAATTTGCATATTTCGTAATGTGAATTTTGTTGCGTGCCTTTTTAGGTTTCGGACAAATAAGGCAGAACTGAAAATGTATTATTCTGTGCCCGTCGTTTTAAGCAAGAAAAATTCTGAAATTATGCAAACTGGGCCCAAAAATGTGAAATTATGTGGTTCTGTTTATTAAAGAATGATAAAGGAAAATAATAAGAAATTATGCAAAAAATGATCATTTTTTGCTAAATTGTGCGGGGTGCATAAAACTACGGGGACAGATTATTGACAAAGTTGGGCTTCTTTTTAAAAGCGGCCCAAAACAGCAGCACGTCGAATGACCAGAATGCGGGTCTTCAGTGAATCATTAGATCTATGTCGCTGTTAGTGTTTTAGTAAAGAAATAAGTTTCCGCTCTCAGGTTGAAAGGCAACACGTAGGTCGTACGTCTTCTCTTTCCCCTCTGTTGTTTCTGTCGATCTGTTTTACGTTGCACTACCGTTGTTGTGCATACGTGCTTTTCCATACTCAAATTTCCACTCGCAAAGTTTATTTGTGGGTGGTTGGAGGGCGTCACGGCATGCATGGTAGACCCTACCACTTTCATTTCCCTCTGTACGATTCTGTCTATCTGACTTGCTTGTTCCCTGGCAATTATGGTGTCACTGTTTCTTTCTGCTTAAACCCATAGCATATCCAGTCACTTGGTGGGCAGGTGGAGAGCGCCACTCGTAGCCTAGGTCTTTCTTCTTTTCTTTCCCGTCCGGGCTGAATTAAGCATCTGGGATGCCAGGGGCCCGCTTGGGAGGAGGGACGCCCCCTTTCCAACTCTCCCTAGTGCATACACTGCAGACTAGTAGCCGAAATTCTAACAGCCCAGACACTCTTCTCGGTTTTCGTGCGACAAAGTCTCTGATGATGTCGCTGAAGTCCAATTCACGCAGTGTATCTGACTCGACGATACTATAAATGTATATGTTCTATATAAAAAGCCTGCTTGATATACTATTACATTGGTGGGTGCCCCACCCCTCGGACCGTTAGGCCCTCCTATTAGTCTGGCCCTGTTCCCCATGATTGTCTATTTCTACATGTCTCATTTTGTTCCTGCACTAAATGATCATCGATGTGCCGATGTGCTCCTCTTCACTGAAATTGAAGTCTGTGGTGTAACAGTTTGGAGCTCCGCTGTTGCACACCGGAGACTCGAGTGGAGAGAAATGTCATATTGAGTCTTTGGTTCTTATTACTGGGATGTTGTATGTGTCCCTCTTAGCCTGGGTTGGCCATGCCAGGTAGGGCGGTCAGAAACCCTCCTCATAAATGATCTACATTGTGTCGGTGGGGGCGTAAAAATAAGCGGGTGGTTGAAGGGCACCACTGGTAGTTCTTACCTCTTTACTTTCTCCCTGTTGCTTCTGTCTGTCTGACTTTTTCTCATAACTCAATGATCATTATTGTGTCTATATGCTTCTCTTCACTCAAACAATCAAACAATCAAACAAACAAATAAAATTTAAAAAAACACCTACAAAAAAAGTCTTCAAGTAACTCAAAATTCAGACAAGCTAAGGTACCTGAAAGCAGTGTGTCCGGTTGTTCATGACCGCTATGTGGAGCGGTGTTCGCTTCAGATTGACACCCTGTCCGTTGACGTCCCCACCAGACTCGATGAAGAAGCGGAGCATCTGCTCGTTACCGTAGTAGGTGGCCAGGTGCATGGGGCTGTTTCTCTCTAGCATCTTCTCTCTCACCACCAGGATTGGGCTGTTCAGCCCACGTTTGTGGTGGGACAGTAGCAGGCGAACCTGAAACATCATAATAATATGTCATGTCTACAGTAGAACCTACCTAAAATAACCATCCATTGTCGAGGAGAAAAGTGGGCATCCGGTTAGTTGGAGTTGGAGGGCGCTACTGATAGGTCCTTCTTCTTCTTCTTCTTTTTCCCTCTGTTTGTGTTTATCTGTCTTGCTTCTTGCCTGAACTTACTTACTTCCTTACTCTTTCCCTATACCGTCAGGTACATACGGCGGAGAGCAGTCGACGACAGGCTTGCCTGTCCGTGGCCACTTTCTGCAATCTGCACTACAGATCGTTATTCTGTCGATTTGCTTCTTTTTACTCAACCCAAGCTCAAAAGTGGTCGTCTTGGACAGGTGGTTCTTTTGGATCATTTCATTATCATACAGACAAAACGCAAGGGGTGAAGTGGGAAATGATCTTTTGTACGGGTGATTGTCTTGGGCTTGTTGTTGTCAGAGCAGGTTCAACTGTATTTTCTTTGTTTTTGATGCGCCTGTGGTTGGAGGGCGCTACTTTTATTTCCTTAAGTTATTCCTGCATATCGCTGTTGATTCTTCTTTGCACTAAATGACTGTCAATGGGTCGATTTGCTTCTCTTTACTCAAACCCAAAAACTTCGATAACCGTTTTGATAATCATAATGAATGATTCCTCAATTCTTCGAAATAAGCTCATTGTGTGATGTATACTCTGTGTGTCAACGACGTTATTCTCTTTTCTTTTGTTGTTGTTACTGCTGCTGTGGTTGGGGCCGTTTTAGTTTACGCCAAACTAAACACAAAACAGATCTTTTCCCAGCAGGGGCACTTGATCTTCAACGTGAGCCCAATATGGCGCTTTAGTGGCAGAACTTTCAGACAGAAGAGGTGAGCAAAGTGACACCACGTACCCATTCCCCATCTATATCTGACCTCCGACCCTCAAGCCTGTGTGAGACCTGCTGACAAAATTTAATGAGTAGCTTCTCACAATCTTCGAATGCTGGTATTGACCAAAATCGACACAGGAGTCAGATAGGTAGATTTCAACTGATGCCATTGCCTCTACACTAAGCATGTCTTTTATCGTTTCATCCTTGCATCGTTTTTAAATCTTACAAACACAATCTACACATTTGACGTGTCTATGTCAATCATTATAGGACAAAAGTCCGAGAAGTGACAACATATTTATAACAGTGCCTGATATCATACAGAACCATGCCACATCTGCTCTCTGTCAGCGTTTGTTGCATAATACTTTTTATGTACTCTCTTCGTGACTGCACGCTGTTTCCTTTTAATTTTAAAGCTGGTGTTTTAGTAACCCCCCCCCCCCTCACCCGCCCCCGTAGACATGGTTTAGATCATCATGTGGAGTCGGGTGTCCGCCCTGACTGCCAGGGCCGACCTGGGCTGTGATGGATACAAGAGTCCCAGCAGAAAGACCGAGATACTCGATAAACACTCGGGTTTTCAGTGCCAACCACTACACCACAAACTCTGCTGACGACATTACTTTGATTCCCGAGTAGGGAAGCCATTTTACCTAGTTCCTCCGTATGTTCGTTGGAAAGCAGTATCACACACAGCTGGGGTTGGTCATAACTATAACAGACAGGATCGAAGCAGTGCGCCTCCTAAATCATCTACGTTGTGTCGATGGGGGCATAAAAAAACGTTCAGTCTGGCTTACTACCATTACTAAGGTACACAAGTAAAACGTAGCTCACACTACACCTTCAAATGCTCCACTCTGCCGTGGAACATAACGCAAATTATGTAATATCATGTAGGGGACTCAAAGACAATAGCCAGTACAGTTAGACTACTACATGATTAAATTACTGGTACCATATTTTTAAAACATCCTAAAATTTACCTGCGTTCGGTCGTTGCAAGCGATAGCGTCGTACAACTGCAGGTCAAATTGTTCCGCGTAAGAGAGCTCTAACGAGGGATCTCCAGATATTCTGTACAACCTCTTGGCACTCATTTTGTACAAAGGTCTAGAAGTGTGGGTTTGAGCTTAAATGTTTCTTTCCTTTTTGCACAGTGGGAAGACAGCTCCTTCAGGAAGTGTTGGTTGTGACTTTTTTTTAAATCCGTGTTTAAAACTCTGGTCCGTTGATACAGAGTTTACACGAACGAAAGGATGAAAATTCACAAGGGCTATTTATTACAAAATGTTTCACCATTTAATATAACAAGAAACTGAGAGATAGGTAGATCGATAGATATCCGCCGCAATTGACTTTGTTTAACACAGTATCGATAAACGATTCTTTCACTTTCGCCTCAGCACAACAAACGAAGTTGAAATTCCTCCAGAGCATAAATATTGGGATAAAAAGAGAAAATGATGAAGTGAGAAGTTCAAATCTGTTGAGATTTCAAATATTATTGGAGATAATCTCACGCCTAGACTTGCTCACAGGAGTGTCAGCCCGCCATATTGACAAGTTTTCCACTATTAGTCGATCGTGTGTGAGCGTGTTGACGAATCTGGATTCAGACTAAGTTATTCGGGATAAATTTTCTTCCGCCGTTCCTGCACTCACACGCACGCCCGTGGAAGAGTGGATGCCAGCAGGCTCGCTCTATCTCTAGAATTGTGTACGAGAGTTGCTCTCTCTCTCTCTCTCTCTCTCTCTCTCTCTCTCTCTCTCTCTCTCTCTCTCTCTCTCTCTCTCTCTCTCTCTCTCAACTCGTGAGGTAGAGTCTCTCTCTCCCTCTCCCTCAGTCTCTCTCCCTCTCCCCCAGTCTCTTTCTCTCTCTCTCTCTCTCTCTCTCTCTCTCTCTCTCTCTCTCTCTCTCTCTCTCTCAAACTCTAGAAAACCGTGTGCTAGTCTCTCCCCCAGCCCCCCCCCCTCTCTCTCTCTCTCTCTCTCTCTCTCTCTCTCTCTCTCTCTCTCTCTCAACTCGTGAGGTAGAATCTCTCTCTCCCTCTCCCTCAGTCTCTCTCTCTCTCTCTCTCTCTCTCTCTCTCTCTCTCTCAAACTCTAGAAAATCGTGTGCTAGTCTCTCCCCCACCCCCATCTCTCTCTCTCTCTCTCTCTCTCTCTCTCTCTCTCTCTCCCTCTCCCCCCCCCCCTCTCTCTCTCTCTCTCTCTCTCTCTCTCTCTCTCTCTCTCTCTCTCTCTCTCTCTCTCTCTCTCTCTCTCTCTCTCTCTCGTCCGCGTTTACTGGGCTTTCAAAACAACTCGTCATTTCGATTTTCTTGCTGTCGATCCTCGATTTCGCCAGGAATTCTGTGCGAGGCGCTCTTACCCGTATGAAGACAACTCGGCGAGGCCTATCGTTGAGCAACTCGGCTATGTGTGTGTCTTCTGTAAACACATGCTTCAGATATATGTAATATGGTCATGACGATGAGGGAAGAGGGGAAGCCATCTTACTCTTAGTAGCCTACTAAGATTCTTTTTATTCTTATTATTCAATTTTGATATCAAAGTAATCGAAATTTTTCCTGGTCTCATTGTTAATACTCTTTTTAAAATGATGACAGTGGTGTGTTTCTGATGAAGCTCGAAAGAGCGAAATGCATGGATTTTTAATTTAAAATTTTTTTTATTTTTGGGGGGGGTATTTAAAATTTTCAAAACAATATTCAAGTCTCCTCTCCATATTTTTCAACTGCACAACAGTGATGCTGCTGATGATAATCATGATGATGATGATGATAATGGTTGCGATGGCGAGAAATTAAACACAAACTGGTAACAGTGATAATATTAGAAAAGCAGAGGTGGCGTAAAAGAAAATAATACATCGATTTATCAGTTTCCTAGTTTATCTGGATAAGTGTTTGTCGTGTGTGTGCAACGATTTGTGTGTGTGTGTGTGTGTGTGTGTGTGTGTGTGTGTGTGTGTGTGTGTGTGTAACGTCTTTTGGGTGTGTGTGCTTGTGTGTGTGTGTGGGGGGGGGGGGTTGTAGGCCCTAATACGAGGCCTCGTTACTTCCCGAATACTTAATATACGGGTCTGTCGAAGGGCACGGTGTTGAGTTGGGTGGTTGGAGGGTGCTCTGGTGGGTGTTTGCTTCTTCGTTTCTACACAAAAATATTGTCCTTATCTCTCCTCCTTCTTTTATTTGTATGTTAATCTCTAAGAGCATCTCTGTTCTTCGACACTTATATGACCTAATAGTGTCGCTGGTGCCGTAAAGCTCTTATTAAAGCTGCACGATATTGAGGGGTATTTATCTTTTCCGGGGGACAAAGAGTTTGTTAAACGTCTTCAAAAAAAGGTGTAAATTAAATCCAACGTTTTTCTGCGAACATGAGCTTTATACAACAGCCTATGGAACATAATGATTAAGGAGTGAAGAAAAACCCTTCTTTGTCATTATGGTCAATACTCTAACGTCGTTAACCGTAGGCCTACTAATTACAGATTGTAGCGGGAGGCGTAAAACGCCATTAATTACAAGAAATCAGCCACGCATTTAGGTCATTCCTGTTAGAAATAATTAGTGCCAGGCAGGCGTGCCTTTCTCTTTTGACGTTCAGGTTGAACGAGATGTCAATGATTTTTCACCTTAGTTGGGGGATGGATGGGGTTTGGGGAGGGGGGGGGGGCATTTCTTCACCCTAGTTGTGTTGGGGGGGGGAGTGATATATACTGTTAAGTAGTGCTGTCCTTCTACCAAATGAGATCTCGTGGGGAGGAGCAAAACCTGTTTCTTTTTTACTTTTTGTCCTAACTCTCATGTTTGCCTCGGTCAATGCGGGTGGTTGGCGAGTGCTCTTTCTTTTCAAATATCTATCGTCCTTATCTCTCCTCCTTCTTTTTTGTGTTTGTTACTCTCTTGTAACACCTCTAACCTTCGGCACTTGTATGACCTAATTATTGTGTTGCAAGTGCTGTAAAACACTTACATAGTGTACTAAAACAAGCCTCGGTTCACCTCGTGAAAAGCACGGGTATAGAAGTCCAATTTCCCACTGATTAACCCTGTTACGACGATGCAAAGGAAAGACCGACATCTGTGGTGTAGCTGTTACGCGCTTCCCTATTTAGCGCAGAAGGCCGGAGTTCGACTCTCGTGTAGGGAAAATCTTTATCGAGCGTCACGTTCTCTCTGTAGGGACGTTTTATCCCTCTCAGCCCAGTTTGGCCTTGACAGGTAGGGTCGAAGTCCATCTCCACAATGAACTAAGTAGTGTCGATGTGGGCCAGAACCTTTTTCATCATAAAAAAAAGAATTAAAAGTATTTGAATGGGAATTTTTGGCGATTCCCACTGCTGCGCCTTTGAACCGGTGCGTTTTGCCTTCTTAAGTAATTGCGTCGGAAACAAAGAATAATATGGTAATGAGATCTTCATATTTCTCAACTCGAGTTCTTTTCTTTTTACCAATAGGGGGAGGGTGGGTGGGTTGGGAAGGGGTGGAGTTGTTGGGGTTTTTTTGTTGTTGGGGGGTTTTTTTGGAGGGGGTAGGGGGTTATTTAGAGTCTAGAGCACACATTTACAATGATAATGCCCAACTCCTTCTGTTTCCTGGTAATTTGATCAGCATGAGGACTTTAGTAAGATAGCTCAACGAGGCTGATTTTTCTGTGCTGTTCACATTCTGCTGTTCCAGGTTTTTAGGCGATGTTATAAAGATTGACTTTTCCTGTTCTTCTGGCACCTCTCCGGTGTTGTTATGGTGTTAGCAACGTCACGTTACTTCTTTAATACCCCTTCCGTCTAGCGCTGTGATCATTGCAGTGAGTATGTTGTCTGAGCCTGGCGTTTGCCCATTAAATTTCGTCTAATCAATGGCGCCTTGTACTTCTTCTGTTAGCATTGTCGGTCCTTCGATTTAAGAAATTCTGGACCTCTATCGTAATAGTCTGCAATATAACCTGACCATCTGCTCAATACAGCTCTAGTTAACGTAAATATTTCTTGTCTTTAGATTTAAGGCATCCTCAATGGGGAGGGGGGGTATTTACCTAAAACTAAAACAGACAATGAGGCCATGACCAGCATCAACCTTTGGGCATACAGTGGCGTCCAAAAGAAACTTGAAAATGTAACCACCCAATCATCGTGTCAAAGCCTTGAACTACCCGCTCATGCAGCATACCAATATAAAGCTTAATAAATTCTGCATCATCTAACACATCAATAATTCATCTATGTTGAGAGAAGCCCGAGATATGGTTACTTAAAAGTGACCCTAAAAATCAGGCTTAGCAAAATTGTATGAAATCAAAGACAGATAAAATTGTCTTCGAGAATATATTGGGGAGCATCAGTATTGATACAATGGAGATACATTGCAATATCCAATGAATTGAGAATTAAAATCTTGTCTCTTCAATAAGCACAATTCTATTACGGTATTGTGTCATGATAGTTTCAAACAAAATGGAAAACAGAGCAATAACCAAATACAAGTATACTCGCGACCACAATTTTACGTTTCTCAGATTTCGTACAATTAATTTGCCAAGCTTGATATAACACGATGATTAGGTGATTACATTTTCTAGTTTCTTTTGGACGCCACTATATATGGAGTTATAGTTATTGTTATATTAAAACCTGTTCATTTGTCATACTTTTGATTTTAAAACACCTATCTATCTTAAATAGAAGTAGAGATATTTTAGATTGAAACGGTGGGGGTCGCCTGGGTTCAGTGGTAAAATGAGCGAGAAAATGGTCACCAAAGTTTGGTGACTTCCAAAGCTTGAGGGTCCTTGAGCTACACAGAAATGTGTTTTTAAGTTTTTAAGGTGCTGTGCCCACAAAAGCAAATTCAATATGAATAATTAATTACCCAACTGGAGGAAAAGGTCAGTTTCTTTGATAGCATTATTGGGACGAGCGCCTGATTTCAACGCGATACTCCATATAGTTCATCTATCAAGTTGGCCTATCTCCGTCTATCTTCTGACAAGGATACTATATCTCACCCGACAGGTAAGATCGAAGCACCCAGCTTTTTTAAAAACCTAAATTGTGTCTGTAGGGGCGTAAAATGTTCACAATCGTTAGTCGACTTTAAAACAGAAAGAGGAATACCATCAATATGTCACTCCAGCCACAATTGACTCCTCCTCTCAAATTTTATCTGCCGTGTTGTGCCGATGCTTTTCTCTTCACTACACTGGAATCTGTGGTGTAGTAGATAGGCGTTTCGCCCTCGCACGCAAGAGACCTGAGTTGGATGCCCCCTGTGGGGAGAATTTTATTGAGAATCTCGGTATGTCCGCTGGGGTGTCGTATTCCTCTCAACCCAGGTTGATCCTGACAGGCGGATTCAAAGTCTGCACCCTTAATGATCTAAATTGTGTTGGTGACGTTGGTAGTCCACTGGTTAGGCTACCGGATCCGTAATCGTGAGATTGCGGGTTTGGGGGTTCGAGCCCCTGCTTGGACTGATGGTGTGTCCTTGGGAAAAGCAATTTACAGGAATGTCCAGTTAGGTTCGGCCCTTTCGGAGATGGACGTTCAACTTGGAGGTCACGTCTTTTCAATAATCCTATAGTGTCGATAGGCGTGTGAAATCGATACCATTTCA